AACCCTATCCCGATGATCTTCCTCATTTCTTCTCGGATCAAGACGTTCTGATCTCTAGCTCCCTGTTGATCTCCCTGGAGGTATGGCGGATTTTCTCTGTGCCTGTTGTATTGCTGATGTCTGGGAGGCGAGTACCAAGGATGGTGATGGTATCCTCGGTTATAATTGCCCTCGATGTTGTTGTAACCTTGATGTGGTTCGTGGCCAGGTTTATATTCATCTCTTCGAGGACTTCTTCGGTTCCAATTAGGTCCCAGGCGGTTGTGCACGTTAGTTCGCTTGGAGGGTTCCATTCTCCTTCTTGAATGACCTCGATACTCGGGGAACCATGATACTCTCGAGTATTTTTACATCGGTATGTCGCGTCAAATTCCTCGAGGGCCATTTCGAATGCTGGGTATTTTTCTCTGAAAGTGTTCCAGAATATGGTGTCCCAAGTGGCGTTTGAGCGATCTTCGTGGGGGTCTTCATACCCCTCGACTTCTTGGTAATCCTCGTCTTCTTGGACCTTCCGCTTCTCCCGCTTCTTCTCGAGAAGGGCTAGGGTTCTGCGAGCTTCTTTTTCGTCGATCAAATCATCCAACTCCTGTTCTGTGAGATCAGGTTTTCCAAGGAGACAGCGCCGCCTGGTTTCTTTGAGGACGTATCTTCGCATCCTATGTTGTTGATCGCTATCATCTCCTAGCTTCTTGAGTTCAGCCTCGATCTTGGCTAGTTTGTGATCCTCCAAACGCTTCTTGGTAGCAGGGGTATTTCGAGGAGAAGGTACGTCCTCCTTCTCGGGTGGGTGATTGTCCTTGTCTTGTTTCTTCGGATCAGGCTGGGAAGAACCAAGAACCAAGCGCTCTTTTGTTGGTTCTTTTTCAGGCTCTCTGCCATGGCTCTTTCCTGCTTTCTTTCTTTCTTGTCTGCATTGGAATTCTGCCAGGGTGGTATTGTCTCCCGGACTATGCCGTCTGCCGGAAGATGCTGTTCTACTAGTGTCTTCTTCCACCCTAACCATAGTGCTGATTGTTCCTGTAACCCTAGATCTTACCGGAAGATGTTAAGGAAATCTGGAAAGGTTTCTGTGACACAAACCCTAGTCTTTGGGTCCCACTGGGAGTGCCACTTGACGAAACTTGGATTTGCACCGCCGGTCCAACAGTGGAACTCCGGCTAGGGTTTCCTGCAAAACCAAGCCTCGGGGGTCTCCCGAGGGTAGACACTCCGAGGCTTAAGTCAATATTGGGTTATCGGTACAATTGTGTGTATAGTTTATGAAGCTATATTTGCGTACTTGTACTGAGATATGATCAACCCTATTTATAGGCATGAGAATCTCCAGGAAGTCTCCGAATCCTATTAGGTTTATACAACCTAAACCGCCCTAAGAGAGTCGGTTGGACTCCTTTCCCGGTTAATGGGCCGGTCCAGTCTTGGTGATGGATATGGACTCGTCAGACGAGGTGCTGAACCATCACGCCAATCATGTTAGTTCTCGTCCGCATTCTAATAAAAAGTTAATAGTTACTATTTTTCCCTCAACAAAAATGTTTTATATTAAATTTTAGTACTAATAATCTCTAAATAGTAAATATTATATGAATTATTTTTTTTCCGGATAGATGGAGTGATATTAACTTTAGTGATTTTTTGAGAATTCGCCAAATTAAGTGCATTTTGACGTTTGGTGAGAAATTTTGAAGATTTGAGTGTTTATAAAGGAAACAGAACTTGAAAATTGAATGAATTTTGAGAAAATTGTTTGGGTAGATATAAATTTCTACGATTACTATTTTCATCCGTGATGTGGAAATGGAGAATATTAGATGAAAAAAATTGAAATATGATGTATGATTGATTTGGAAAGAAAAATATGAGATAGTGAAGTAATGAAGGCTAGGAAGTTAAATGAAAAGTATTTATAAAAATTGTGCTTTAGTTATACTGTTAAAAAATTTGCAAAATTAAAATTGTAATAAAGGAATTACAAAAAGTATATTTTGGCCATTACAAATTTTCCACTTTTTAGCGGGTGGATATCGAATACAGACTGTATAAAGCATTTGGATATGGAAAACAGACTATAAAGTGCAGATTTCGTGAGAGCGGAAGTCGAGCGAGCTTCAAGAAAAATTTGAAATAAACTCAAGGCATAAGACGCAATCGATTTTTATTTTCATTTTTTTCCATACAAGAAGATGAACGTATCTTGTTCCAGCCAATTTTTTTTGCTTCCGAAAAAAAAAAAGAAAAAAAGAAATCCACGTTATAATAAGCAAATTATATGTTGTACTTTTACTGAACTTTGCCTTTATGTGGCTAAAAAAAAAACCTGGATTGTTTGGAGAATCAAAGCAACCAATATTTTGCTATATTGTAATGAAAATTTGAGTCCACATTTAGACCCAGTAGCATTTGCCTTCGAAAATCACATACGTGCGGAATTCGTGCGAAAGACTTCCAGAAAAAAAAAAAAAAGAAGACCTCCACACACGCACAAGAAGTGTTGAAATGTTTTATAATAAATAAAAAAAATAAAAAGGAGAAGAATAAAAAGTACCAGAGCTATTTTTTGTACATGTTTACGAACTTGCAAAAGATGACACATAAAATCCAGACGATGTTAGTTCTGGGGCTTATAGGGGGAGGTGAAAATCAACTTGGGGGTACTGCTGGAAGATAAAGACATTGCGCTCCAATTTCAATTTCTTGGACACTTGGTATATAGACTTATTACTCTCTCCGTCCCAGAATTGTCAAAGAGGGCTATGAAGGTGAACCCTATCACAAACTTATCATGGTTGTCCTTATTCAGGGTTTTACATGCATGCAGGTAAAAAGGAGATGTCATTTGTTAGTGGCCTGATGAAGAATGTTGATGTCTTGGAGAAACTGATAATCCGGTTTGACCATCCCTGTGTGGCCGGAATTGCACATGTCAAGCGGGGGTTATTATCACGTGGTCCTGATAATGTGATAGTTATCTTCGATGTGTTGATTCCTAAAGCAGATAGAATCCAAATCGGCAAGTAAATGTATAAGGATTCTGAACATGGAATTTTTGTTGTTTTTTCTGTTGAACATTTACTTTGTTGTTGTCTTTGAAAATACTAGCACCGTATGCCTGTGTCGAGAGTGCATCATAATATTGGTGTTATTAGAAACTCTAGTAACTTCAAAAGGAGGCTAAATTTGAGTTTGAATTATTTGGAGAGAAAAAAAAAGAAAAAGACAAGGAACTTTGCTTACGACGTTGAGAACTGTCTCTTTCTACCATTTTTCTTTTTGTTGGGTATGTGTAAATTAAAGAAAAATTTAATTCAACCAACACAAATTGCGTTTGATGAGAAAATTTAAAAATACGTGCAGGCTTCGTGAGAGCATAATCCGTGCAAGAGATTCAGTAAAGTGTGATATTATAAAACTTGATGTGAAATGTATGAAATCTACTTAAATTCAGAAGGACGAGGAAATTAGGTTTTTTCAAAGAATTTGACTTGTTGAAATAAATCGATTTCTCCATTCATCAGTAAAGAAAAGTGGCAAAAAATTTAAAAGGATGCAGAAGAAGCTCTTAGAATTTTTATTTTTTATTTTTTATTTTTTGGTACTAACGCTCTTAGAATCTTATATAGAAACCATATTCAATATAGCAAATCTTCTGCGCCAAGCATCTTTTACTTTTCTTTCGTGATCTTTTAAATAAACATCGATCGAGCGTTACAAACTTTTCTTATCCCGTTAAAGAACATTAGAGAGTGAAAAGGAAGGATACTTTGTTTCTTCGGTTGTTACTTTCTACCGTGTTATCCAAAATCTAAGAAGTTAATTATTTGAAATGTTGCCACCTCAAACCATGCAAAAAAAAAAAAGTAGTAATAATAAAATTGTAGAAGTATTGGTTTTATATTTTCACAAGATTTAGTAACTCTCCTAAGTCGGTCGCACACATTATAAGATGGAAAGTTTATGAACAGACTGAATATCCATCCATTTGAGCAATCTGAAGCAAATTAAAAAGCAACAATTTTCTCAAAAAAAAAAAAAAAAAACCCTTTCTTGAGAGATTAAGCTCTTGTTACCACAGCTGAAACTCTCAAACAGCTGATATTTATCTGGATAAAATGGCCTTATTCACTGATATTCCTCTTGCAGTAATCACCGAGTTTTTTCCTCCAGAGGTAACATTTAAAACAACCCGGGCTTCCTTTTGGGGTGTCTGGGCAGTGCGTAGCAAAGACATTAAAGGTTTATTTTTCCAATATTTATAAAAACCTAAATACATAAATGCATCTTTCGATGTGATCAACTCATGCATTTTTCAATAATCTTCATTTCACATCAACTATGTTGCAAAATTTTCAAACCACGAGCAATGTGCATGCCAACCGCTATTATATGATTAATAACAAAAGGAAATAACTTTTTACAATAATGTAAAAAAATTTTAAATGAATAACTCTACTAATGGAAGAACGGAGAACCAACCTTTTAATTTCAACATCTAGGGAAAGCCAATCGATTATTGTAATGCCACAAACCAGCGACAATGTTCGGAAAGGGTTCACGGATCGGTTAAGCCAACACTCTAGCCTCACAGACTATTTGCATGCGGTATAAATATAAAAAAAATGGTTTAAAATAATCTCTTTTTCAAAGAAATTATTTGAAAAGCTGCCAACATGGTCACATATCTAGGTGGACATTGAAATTGAGAGTGGCTTGAAACAAGAATACCAGCTATCTTGCGAGCGCCACGCCACCCAAAACTAGATGATCATATTATTACGAATATTACCAAGAAAATAGCAGTAATTTCACTATTCATTTTTATTGTATATATCATTTTCCTAAAAGAGCATAAATATATCAATTTCCTTAAAAAAGATCCTCATATATTTTTCTTCTTAATCCTCTATTTCAAAAAGATAGTCCAAATAGACTTAATGCATGTGGACTATTTTCTCAAAAAGAGGGAGTAATAAAAAGAGAAGGAACTTCTAAAATTAATTTTGCTACACAACTTTATATATAGGTATCTTTGGGGGACTCAGAGGCAGAATGTTTTCAATATGATGGCTACTAGCAACAGTTGACAGCACCGGAACAAGTGCATGAACAGGGGATGACTTGTCCTCAAACTGCAGCTGTTTGATTTCGTACTTATTTTCCTTCTTTTCCTTGTTCTTCTTCTTTCCAGGATCACAAAAGATCAAAGCAGCATCTGAGGTTTCAGTCGAAACTCGTTTATGTGTTACTAAAACCTTCCCTGTGGTTAGGATTTTTATATTAATCAATCGTTTGAATTTATGATCACATCAGATAACTAATGTATGGGTATATACATGCAAAAACAGAAACGTATATTACTCCCTCCTCTAAAAAAGAAGAAAAAAGAAAAACTCGTTTTGAGTTTTGAGACAGAATAAGTTCGGGTTTACCTGTATTTGTGCTGCCAACAATATCAATGCCCCTGTAGAATACCTGTTCTGGCAGCTCAATATATGATTGAATCCAGAATGGATCATGCTTGTTCATCAATGTCCACAATTTGATTTGAGAAGGATGAGGGTGGTGGATAAATTTAGCCAACGTGAAACGGCCTCCAACTTCTGTCATTAACTGGTCATAATAATCGAATTTACGGTTTTGGCTCAAGAAGATATCTGGGTGATGAGCATTACCGTCACCATGAAAAAAACCATTAGAAACAGGAACTAATTTGAACGACTCTTCGGAAACGTCGAAATATTGCAAAGCTCTTTTCCCCTCATCACCACTTTCATAGCAGAATTCAAAACCTTCCCAAAATATTGAACCATCTACGCAAATGTTTTTCCTGTATACAAGATCATACTGAGGGTAAGTTGAAACAATTTCCCTCCATCTCATCATATTGCCGAAACTCAATGTCATGACGAAACATTTGTCTTGTCCACAAGAGTGAACTACTTTGTATACCTTATTGATAGGATCAAACCCTAAGAAGTTGTTAGACGGGCCAGAGCAATGACATGATGAAATAGATCTTCTAGTCTTTGGGAGACCAATATTTTCCTTGGTTGTGACATTGAGCAATCGAAGTTGATATGAGCTAGGTGACCACAAAAGAATAAGGCCGTTGACGATGTTAGAACATGGCTCGGCTTCATCAATGATGATGCCGTGTTCGTCATGATCAGTGAACCTGTGCATGGGAAGCTGGGTGGAGAAAACGGCGTCTGGATTCGCCGGAAACATGGCCCATCTGCCGATGACATAGAATAGGATGTAGGATGAAAAGGGTTGCCGGGTTTCGGTCCTGGAGTTGGCGAGGTGGGTTTCAGCGAAATACGGGTCGCGAATCAGGGCAAGCCATGGTTTAGAGACCAATTTGAATCGCATCAAAGATTTCGCTGGAAGCCATGATAATATAATAAATATTACGTTCTCTGGAAGTTCAGGCTTGCCGCCTGGGGAAATTTGGGAATCACAGCTTCGATTGCCGCCGGGTTTCTTCTTCCTGTCCTTCGCTTTCTTCTTTCTACCGGCCATTGACGTACGTTTGTGTTCTTTACTTGATTTTTAGGGTTTTTAACTCGATGAATTCTTATATGTGAGCTGGATTGGTTTTCGTGTCCTGCAATCTAATGTTTCGTCTCCTCTTCGCTTCACTCCCAGTAGCTTCTAGGGTTTGCTCTTGTTCATTTAAGTGGTGCTCATGGTGAGGTGTTATGTCTTGGGGTCGAAAGGAAATTAAAGAGAGAGAGAGGATTGAAATTGTATTTAGAGTTTAGCGAGTTATCAAGATAATTTTCAGAATTTATATGCTAGCCAGGATCACTGCATGGAGGATACGGTTTTTTAGCTTAACTAGTATTCTTCCAAGTGTTTTGGAGTCCCTTCGTCCATGTGAGTTGCCCTGTTAACTTCTAATTCCTAGGCTAGATTGAATTGGAATTGAATTAGAATTACAATTTTATAGAATTCAAAGCAAAGTATTAAGATCACAATTCAATCTCAATTTCTAAAACAATTAATTGACTAAGAATTAAGGTCTACTCCCAATTCTCCGTGTTTGAATGGTTAAAAATTTTTATACTTTACAATTAGAACAAGTTGTTCTTATCTAACTAATATAATCTATACTTCATTTTGCTTAAATTTTTATATGAAAGTAATTTATTATCTACATATGTAAAATGAGAGAATGAATTTCTTATCTGCACATATATTTGGATTACTATGTTGCTTTCAAACTAAATTAAGTTTTACTTATTTTTTGTTAAAAAATACAATTTTTATGTAATTTGTTATATCAAATTTCTAATTTATCATGCACATATATATATATATATGAAAAATATATATTAAAAATTAATGAACATTTTATGCCATCTCGTGACATAAAAGAAAAGTTTTAACCAAAAACTAAAAGAGTTACTAATTTCTTTTCTACAATAAAGTTCATGTTTTATTGCACTTTTGATTTTTTTTTGGTAAAAAAATAAAATATTAAATTTATATCTAATTGATATATTGAATATTTGTCAGTTTTACAATGAATAAAAGCATATGCTGTTAGAAAAAAATTCAAGAAATCTTTTTTGAGAAAAAAGAAAAGAAATTGCAGTGCTCACTGTCCAGGGTTTCAAGGAAAAAACTAAAGAAAAAAAAATCGAAAATTTTAGAGAGAGAGAGAGAGAGAGAGAGAGAGAGAGAGAGAGAAGGTTTGTAGTGCCCAATGCGGAAGGAGAAAAGGAGAATACAAACTAATCCTTAAACTAAAGCCCAATCCTCATTCCATAGTCTAGTTCATTGCAACCAAATAGAGCCACAGAATATTTCAAATTCTATTGGTGACTTTTGAAACGCATATATTTTGTCAATTGGTCTTATATGATAGAACATATGAGCAAATATCCTACTATATTAGAAACAAAAACCACACTTAAGAGAAAGCACCATCATTTGCCATGTGGCATTTCCACATCATATTTTTAAAATAAATTTTTATTACCACATCTCCTAAATTTAAGAAACAAAAACCACACTTAAGAGAAAGCACCATCATTTGCCATGTGGCATTTTCACATCATATTTTTAAAATAAATTTTTGTTACCACATCTCCTAAATTTAAAAGGCAAATGCACTCTAAATTCACTTCCACCTCCTATTTTCGTCAAAACAAACAAAAAAAAAATCACAAGTTCATAAAAAACCCAAATTCTCATCCCCATCTCCACGACAATCGACTCCTTAATCAATCCCTTCTCCACAATTTAAAAAAAAAAAAATTCCTCATCAATCATCAATTGAGAATACGTGGTGAAATATACTCCTTTCCTATTAGCATGTTCAATCTTTTCATTAGTGATGATGAACTACATCTTAATCGGATAAAATTTCAACTTCAAAAAAATATTCTCTTTACCTCTCTATATAAACACAAAGGAAAAAAAAAATTCTCATTGATCTTGCTTCAGCCGTTGTGGTGGTGCCATTACAGGTATTAAAATTTAAATGATTTTATTTCCACAGATCGTTGGTTTGGCTTTTATTATTTTTTATTTTTCCCGTTCAAGAATAGTGTTATTACTATTATTTTTATGCGTCCATTCGTTATAATTACCGTAGCCGTTGTCAGGTAGTATGATGTGATTTCTTATTTAATTAGTTAGCCTAGAATTTTGGTATGATTTTAGTTATGTTTAGATTGAATTGATTGATTGGGTTTTTGTTATAAAGTGTGGTTTTTTAAATTTGTTTTTTATGTTTCATTCAATTAGATTGGTTTTTTTTTTTTTTAATTATGGAGTCTCAGGTTTTTTTCGTATATGGCCAATTATGAAGTGCATTTTTTCTTTGTTTAATTACTTTTGATTTTGTTTCATACTTCCAGTTGACCAATTATTATTATTATTATTATTATTATTATTATTTTATTTACAAATGAAGCACGTTTCTTTTTTTGTGTTCGGGATTTCAAGAATATACTTTGGATTTGATTTTTGGACTTTTTTCAGTTCCTCATCATATAAATAGTTCAGGTCTTTTCTTTTAACTAATTTATGGGAATTCCTTTTATGAATTTGAGGTGGAGAGGAAAAGAATGATGTTTCTACGTTTATTTGTGTTTTTATACATCATTTTTACCTACAGAAAAAAAATAAAAATTTTCAAATTTTAATAGGCTATCTTTTACCCTTTTTTTTTTATTTCCCATGGTGAGGTGAGCTCTTTTTTGTTATATCTTGAAACCTATGTAAATTTTTACATTATTTTCATTCTCATATTTGTGAGCAACCAGTTTCAACAATTAACCAGTTTCAAAATCATATTTTTGATATTTTACTACCTATAAATTTTTGGAAGAAATAGTTCCAACAATTAAGCGTATACCTTTTGGAGGAAGCTAACTACAAAGCTATTATACATTTCCAAAACTAAGTATTGATTTGGCCCAACCAATGGAGAACATCAATAAATTATCTTACTAATATTTAAACTTATTAGGATGCTTTTATATTTTGTTTAGCATTTACTTCAAGACATATATTTGATCAAGTTTATTTATATTTAAGAAGTAATACTTATAAAATATTTCTAAAATCTTCAAACATTTCTAAAACCTACCGGGCCAAATACAATTTATTTTTTTACCAAATACAAATATCACACTTATAAAACATTTTTAAAATTCTTCAAATATTTCTAAAATATATCGGGCCAAATACAAAATATTTTTTTTTTCAGATACAAATATTTATAAAATCTACATATATATTGGGCCAGGGTCGCGCATTGCGCGACCAGACGTCACTAGTTTTAGAATAAAGAAATATCGTCACGAGTTAAAATCTCAGGAGTTTTATCAAAATAGGCACATCACTATGCTCAATCACCAATGATTGGAACTCCCACGTGCAATGTTTAAAGGGCCCAAACAGCTTCAAACTGGAGCATTGGAAAATCATCTTTGGAGAGGCACTCAGGAATATCAACATCTTGTATGATTTCATTGGAAGAAGGGTTCTTTTTTCTTCGAAAGTAGGTCGCAAAACTTGCTCATTAATTTTAACTTTTAACTTCTCTTCCTTGATGTTCTCTTCTAGATCCTGGTTGCGATCAGATAATAGATCAATCTTTGGCAACGTGTTATGCTAAGTTGAAGTGCCTTTGGGATGAATTTAATCATCTTGATCCACATGAGGAATGTGACCAACTTGAAGGGTCATCATTTTGTTATCAAAACTGACCATCATGCTTTGGAGTATTTATTAGAGCAAAAGTTGACTACTCCCACACAACATAAATGATTAACCAAGTTGATGGGATTAGACTATGAAATCAAATGCAAGAAAGGAAAAGAGAATATTGAAACAGATTCCTTGTCTAGGAGGCATATATAGAGAGAACTTAAAGACCCAAGATCACTGCAATTATCACTGTTCAAGCAGATTGGATGAGGTAGATTAAAGAGAGTTATGAAGATGATGAGGAAGCTCAAAGGATGATTGAGGCTACTATATTGAACCCCACAAATGACATTGATACTCAGTTTATCAGTGGCATTCTGAAGTATAAAAGAGAGATTTATATTGGAAGCCAAGTTGGAATAATTGGAAAGTTGCTGTCGTCATTCAGGTCAAGAAGCCCCATTGAAGAGACTGAGATCTTTATTTTACTGGAAAAGTCATTTGCTGATGTAGAAGATTTTGTGAGGATCTGTGTGATATGTCAGTCACACAAGGGAGAGCACATACACAATCCTAGACGCTATAAAAAACACAACAGATCCCCCAATAAGCTTGGAAGGAACACTCCGTGGATTTCATAGACAAATTGCCACCATCAGTAGAGGGATGTTGTTCCATAATCCATACTGGTTGTTGTGGACAGATTCATAAAATATGGCCACTTCATGCCACTTACTCATCCATACACAACAAAGGAAATAGATGAGGTGCTCTTCAAGGAAATATTTCGATTACATGGAATACGTAACTCCATAGCTAGTGACAAGGACAAAATTTTTCAAGTCTTTTCAGGAAATACGATTTCAGTGAGCTTTTTATAAGTATAGAAATTGAAAAAGAAACTATAATATAATCTCTTTTTTCCCAAGACATTATTTGAGAAGCGGCTAGCAACATGGTCATATATCTAGGTGGAGATTTAAAGTGAATGCCTTGAAACAAGAACCAGCTAACGCGCCCCCAAATCTAGCTGGCCATTTTGAATATGTCATACTAAAAATGTTTTTCAAAGAAAAAGATAAGTGTAACTTGCAACTTTAATTTTGCTCCGCAAAATGTTTTCAGAAAAAATGGCTCTATAATAAAACTTCATTTAGGTTTGTTTGTGAGACTCAAAGGCTGAACGTTTTCTACATGATGGCTAGTGGCAACAGTTGACATCACTGGAACAATCGCATACACTTGATGACTTCTCCTCAAACTGCAGCTGCTTCGTTTTATACCTTTTGTTCTTCTTCTTCTTATTGTTTTCCAAATCACAAAAGATCAAAGCAGTATCTGGAGAGCCCGCACCC